ACAATGCCAAGATAAAGTGGTTGCCTCTTTCGTAATACTCTGGAGAACAGCCACTTGCAGAGTTCCATAGATCTTACTTTAGTGTGTGAGTAACCCCACATCTGGGAATATCAATTTTTTATTCCCTTTAGAAGATTTTCTTTCTTTTTGTAACCTTTAACTTCATAGGTCATTGACCTAAACTGTGATAGATCCAGCTGTCTTGAGAGATTTCAGGTCCCTCATGTTGCCAGCTGGATTGGAATTTTGCCTACAGCAAAATTCATGTAGAGTTGTACTTAGAACGAGATAGTTTGAGGAAAGGGATTTGAGAATAGTAGAATCCATGGTGGGTTTTTTTCATATTCTTAGGTTCCAGGGAGATGATTGAGGAATTAAACAAATGTTTCATTTATGATTAATCTTTTAAAATATTTTTTTAAAAGTTTACAATTGTAACAGATAAAGTAAATATTAAAATGTGTAATATTGTACATTTCTAATATGAAAAAGTCCAGCAAGGTATTTAAATTGACTGCTTGGGTTTTGCATAGACCATACTCATTTATTATATACATATTTTAAAGTACCTACCAACTCTGTACCTTAAAAATCAAACAAATGAAAAAAATCAGTAACAAAACTATAACCAACCAGCTGGCATGATACAGACATTAAATAGATGTTGAGGTTATGCAAGACTATAGATAGTTCTGATAACTCCAGTTTTAAAATTTTTAAGTAAGCTTTATCATCTGACTTTATGATTAACAAATACATATTATATACAATAATCACTTAATAAATGTGTACTAACAAAGAAGTATTTTAATTATTTTACATGTTGAGGTCCCCTTTAAGATTATTTTGAAATAAGTTACTCAGCTACAAAAGGTAAAAGTACATGACAATGTACTTGTCAGGAATTTATTGAAATTGTTCATGATAAAAAGTTTTTTGTTAGATGACCACTTATTCATCCAACCCCATTGGGCATTTTATATATTTAAAAACAGTCACAATCTTTTAGGAATTTGTGCTGTTTAAACACATTGACATACTGTATAGTTTAGATTTCCCATTTCATAAATAAACAAATAGGGCCACTCTTAAAATTAAGTATAGTCAGGCAGTTACAGAAAGAACTCAGGCAAACTAACAAGGGAGAAAAGAGGCACCATTTAGTTAGCCAGACCCGTAGGACCAAACTGTTCTCTTCATGGGAAGACATACGTCACAGCCAGATCGCAGTCCCAGAGGTGAGAATTGATTGCCTAGAATTAGAAGTTTGTCATTAGTAGCACTAAAGCTTGAATTGTCTTAAAATGAGTTGTGAATGTTCCTGTACATGGGCAGGGAAGATATGAAATAACTGTGCTGTCAGAACTGTTCTGGAAGTGTCTGTGTGCATGTTGAGTGCAGGTGAAATTAGGAAGGGGACATTGAATGACAAATTGGTGAGGCCATGCATGAGGCACAGTGGAACAGGGGACACCAAGATAG